CCCTGGCGCAGGAACCGCTCTCCTCCCGCCGGTTCGAGAGGAGTTGCGTAAGCGACGCGCTGTTATGTAACAAGAACTGCATGACTGCTATGACATTAAGGGCCGGTTCCAAACGTTCTCACACTAATTCATGCATATCTGGCCCATACAATGTTATAATTGTTCCTTCACAGCAGCTCTGCCACCCCACGCTGCCAGCCCGTGGTGCAACGTGGTGCACCGATTTTCCCGCGGTACTTCCCCTTTCATCAGCTGCCAGGGTCGTATTTTGCCGGTGCACCAATTTGCATCAGAAGGATTTGAGTAGCATGTTCCAAGTAACAAATCTTTAATAACCGTGATACTTCCAATGCTCACTCTTTAGCTAAACATGTATTCCTTCTCCTGTAATCTCTACCCTTCTTTACTGCATCCCATTGCATAAGATCTTTTCAGCTGCCGAAAGAAATTCTAGCGTACACGAAAGGGAATTCTTCCTCTACTTCTGCAGCACATAATACTACAGAGTTTCCTTGATAAGGAAAGAGAGGGGGGATGAGAGAGAGAGAGATTGGTTCCCAAATCTTGGATGTGGAAGACTCGCTGTCAGTATTACCACTATAATACAGTAATGCCTTTTTAACGTTAAACACAACTCCACAGTGAGACAATTCTCTCCACTAGCACACGTGCAACTGCCGTAGTACGCAGTACCCATCCGTTGGGACCACAACAGTAGGAACTTGCTGCAAGAAGCTGTTGAACATCTAGTACCAAGAATACACTTAGGAATATTTCTGAGGCAATGCCACGCATTTTGAAATGGGCTTGCCAACAGGACAGACCCCAGCTGTAAGCCTCAACCACTTTCACCAACAGGGAGTTGTTAATAGCAGGTGGAGCCGTCCCACATCTCACCTGTCACCATTCCACATTCAAAGATATACAATAGTCTCCTGTAGGACCTTTCCAGACATGTATGCTTCCTGCACTTAACAACCACAAAACATCACGAAGAGTTGTAAATGTCCTGCCTGCGTAGCTCTCAGCTATCACTTTTACCATCACACATCAAGTTCTGTTGTCAGCAGTGTCAAAGCGGTTCTCCAAACACTGCATCCTCAGAATGTTTGTTTCCAGAGGAACCTCAGTAGCCCAGTGGTTTTGGTCTTCGCTTCTTCTCTGACATTTCACCTGTGGCAGTATCGCAGCTTCAAGAGCCATTTTCCATATTCTGTATTACTATCCAGAATCACAGCACGGTTGAGGTTGGCAGGGACCCAGAGGTCATCTTGTCCAACCCTCCTCCTCAAAAAGGGCCACCTAGAGCTGGTTGCCCCAGACCATGAGTAGTCAGCTTTTGAGTATCTCCAGAGATGGAGACTCCACAACGTCTTTGATGCATTCCCTGCCAGCTGGGTTACTGGGTTTGCAAGTGGTTTGTCTTACAGCCAAACATACAACACTGCTCTGCTTTGGATCCTAGGATAGTATCTCTCCCATTCAAGTGCTCGGGTATATTGGACTTTTCTTCTATCATGCTTAACGTACCAAACTGCTCTTCCGGCTACTGTTGTAGGATGCTGCTGTACAGACTCATGCTGTCTGTAAAGCTGGAAACGAAGCGAGAAGTACTGCAGTAATTCTTCAACAAAAACCCATAAGAAAATGCCTCCTGTCACTCAGCCTTAGGACTCCAGGCCAGACACCTGTTCCCATCATCACTGTTACGCAGGAGCGGATGCCCTACTTCTCAGAAAGGGTCATCAAAACCTTTGCCTCCTTTTCAAATCATTGGCCTCCTAAGCTGAGATGCTGTGTTTAGATCTCTGAATGCTATCCCAAATCATGTGTTTAAGGGAAGCTTGGTCTGAAAAATCAGCCAGCTCAACCTGACAACAAATGCTTACCTACCTGCACTGACACATCAACATACCCTTGTCACAACAGCAGCAAGACAAAGGAGTTAAGTTTGGAGAAGTATTTGTTGAGAAGGTTTTGTATACAACACACAGATGACAAACACACCAGCACCAATCCTACTTCAGTGGGTCCTGAAGACCTTTCTATCACTTTTCCCCACACTTCTTCCTTCCAAGGTTGCATTCAATGAAATAGCCATCTCCTTTGCAAGGCTTCTATTTCATTGCTCCAAGAAGAGCATCTCAAAGGCTTCATCTTCCTTTTTTTTTCCCCAGGATGTTTTTTTCATTTGCCAAAACAACTGATACTTGCCTTACCTTCTCCCTGATAACAGCAGACTGGCTTAGCCAAGCTAATAAGTAGTGCAGTCCTTCCTCTCTGCTGCAAAAATAGACCCTTCCACTGTTTCCCAAATCAATCCACACTTTGCTATTTTTCATGTTAAACTTTTTGGGTAGGTGAAGTTAAAAAAAACAAAACAAAAGAAACAAAAAAACCCACACATGTTTCTCAAGGCTTTCTGCTCTTCCTTTTATCTTAACCACGCTATGTACCCTAACTAGATAATGCCATTCTTTTGTAACAAAAAAAAAAAAAAACAAAACAAAAAAAAAGGAGAGTTCAGATCCATCAGATCAGTCTATCGTCTTGCAGACTTGCAGTCTAGAGTGAAATGTGGTTCCTCCTGTAACGGACATGCAAAGTATTTCTATTACAGCTGGTCAGACAGCATTTACCAAATCAATTAATTTTTGAGGCAGAACATTTATGAATGTGTTTGTGATGTTCAGTGCTATTTCTTAGCCTTTGGGGAAAAACCTTTCCAAGCTATGATGCAATTTTTGCTAGTATGTTGTATTGGTATGAAGAGGAGGAAGACACGTAACCACAAGGGAATTGGTTTTTAGAAGTGAAAAACTTCACACAGCTGTCTCATGTAAGAAGCCCTTTGAATGTTCTGGCACATTAAGTATGCAGATCATCCAGAGAGAGATGTGATATAATAGTTGAGATCTAATTTTAGGGAGAGCTCTTCCTAACCTTTAATGAGTCATATGATGTTGTTTTTACTTGACCTTAACGAACAATCAAATAATTTGCTCCTCTTTGAATAAGAAGGACAAAAGATATTTCCTCAGCAACATTCTGTTAATTTTGCAAAAGACTGTCTACGTCTCAATCGACAATAGCCAAGATGAAGCTTTTTATTTTGTTTTGTTCATTTTTAGATTCATATCCCCAGCTTTCATGCTATTTGCAGATCAATGGAAAAAAGAGCAGGTCAGGAGTCAATCGCAGTTATGCCAATCAGTGTTGCTCTAGAGACTGAATTCTTTCATCTGAATCTTCCCCACCTCCTCCCAAGCCTAGGAAGCTTGCAGGGTGAAAAAAAAAAAAAAAAAAAAAAAAAAGAGAGAAGGAAAAAAATCTCACACCAGATGTGTACACACATAGAAAAAATACTTCCATGGAGGGAAGACAGAATTCTTTCACATTAGCTAGCTTACTATGAATTGCATTTGGCTATTTTAGCACATTCATTTCACCTGAAAGAGCTAAGTACTTCTAACATAGCAATGGTAAGGTCATATGATATTTCTTGCGATTCAACCGCCTTTTTGTTTAGAGCCATTTAGAAAAGCTGAATTTATTTGTTGTTTCCAAGTATTCATTTAACAGTTTGCACAAATATTCAAGACTGATTCACAAACTTCACATTTGGCTTTTTGCTTCCTTTCCTTCTGTGTATTTAACTCTGCTGTAATTGTTCCTTCATGCTAGTGACGAAATATGGAAGTTGAATGACTAGAATAAACTCTTAGAGAATTGGTACTTTTGATCTGCATCGTATCAGCAGCATTCAACACGGGAAGAGATAACAGGCAATGCACACAGCACACCCATGGGTCGTTGACAGCCTGCGGGCAGAGCTCCGTGGCACACTGCCTGTCCTGCCTGCATCCAGGCGCAGGACTTTGGTGGAATAATCTGCTCAGGGAACCCCTCTGACTGACATGACAGCTGGTTGTTGGATTGCTGATTTTCAATGAACTCCTCAGTTTTAGTCACGTTCCTTTTAATTCCTGGTCATGTCGAGTTCCAGTTAGTTTCATTTTTCCATGTACTTTGGACAGTGCTTACCAACTGCTAATTACACCTACGTTAGAGTTCGTCAAGGAATTGGCTCTGTTTCTACATGTTTTAACATTGACTGCACATGTGCACGTCGTATTTCTCGTTCCCAACATCATCTATGGCAGCAGCATTTTCAAAGTATGTCTTGTCTTCTAAAACAATCATGCTGCAGTGATGGAAGGCATTCTGTTCTGTAATTTTGTTAATGGCTCTAATCAAAATCTTTTTGTACAGAGCTCTGTGAGAATCAAATGGGCAATTTCCATATATACATTTGTTTGCTTTTGAGACATATATTTCTGAAAGCGTTCAAGTATTTCCACCTAGTTGCCAAGTAACTTTGGTTAGCATCATC